CCCCCCCCCGGGGGCAGGTCAAGTACCGTCTCCAAAGTGAGGATGACCAAAAAAATCTCGTCAGGAGGGAACTAGCCTTCATCATGACTTGGGTGTTGGTGAATTTCGTCTATCAACTACATCAACAACAGACAACCACAAAGTTAAAGTAGACATTTCCAATCCAATTACTACATTAAACCAAAACAAAAAAAGGTGAAAATAATTTTATTAATATTATTATTTGTTTTTTTTAACTTTTAACTTCAACTTTGTTTCAGCGAAATGAGGTATCATTTACATAAGAGTGAATTTAAAATCACATATTAATCAGGAATTGATGTGAATAATTAATGAGGAGCCTGACTGCGCATTTACACGCCTGTACATGACGATTGTGTTTCTTTTTCGTGTGTTTGTGTGTGTGTGTTGGTGTCTCTTTCACTGTCAATGTCACATTTTTACACCACCTTGGCAGGACAAGTGAAAATGGATTGGATGAGATAGGAAGTTTGCACACTTGGGTCTGTCGACTTCTTCACTCCACCCGTCTGGGGTGAGACTGGAACACTCCAACATTCACGGTTTGTAAGTCGATGATGAGCCTGTCAATCAATGACATTTCAATGCTTTTGAGGCTTATGAGAAACGCATAACCGAGGAGTTATTGTAGCTCTCTCCAATTTCGTCCTCAATCTCCACAAGTACGGGGTGGAGACAGTTCAGAGAGGAGAGGAGCTAAAAATGACGACAGCATGTCAAAGCGAACGACATCTGAGGTGGATGTAATGTAGAGTAAAAGGGAATACGCCGGAGGATCTCACTACTGCAGGCCATGAGGAGGGTAAAAGTGAAAAGTGAAAAGTGAAAAGACGATACGCAAACAGCCGACACTCGTGCTTGCGTCTTGCAGTCACATCGTGGTGATGTGGCGGGACCGGACTCACAACAAAGCCTCGCAGGAGAACCATCAACAAACTCCAATTGACATATGACATCTTCATAGTGGAGGTTGCCTCAGTCTGGAGCCGTTATTGAGATGTATGAAGTCTCTTGGTAGACAATTTCGGTTAAATGACACTCCGAGGTGGAAGTGTAGTGGAATTTCGAACAGAGGTTGTATGAAAAACAACAAAAAAACACTTAGAGACGACTGACGTTAGGAAAAGAAGTCTCACCCCATTGTCCCATCAACAGTAAAGGAGGGCAGAAAGGCGATGAGGTAGGAGCCGAGTGTTTCAAGACCCCCTCCCGGCCTGGAAGTGTTTGGATAATCGTGATGGCAAACAATATGATAAGGTTCGACAGAGATGGCGACAAGAAGAACTGAAGCCATCGGAGGTAAAAGTGACACAACTACTGTTAGCCCTCTTCTTGCCCAGACAACTTCAATTCAACTGACCAACAGACCCCTCCTTGAAACCCAAACCTGCACTCATTGCGTCCCGACGATGAGGAGGTCAATTGCACCGCAGTGAAGTACCCAATCGAGAAGTCGTAAATACACACTTTAATCCACACGACTGGCTGTCTGGGTTAATTTCAATCCCAGTGCGCCACGAGCATTCAGACAGGCTCTTGGTTGTACGACTATCTCGCGTGCGACAAGACCGCATCACCTGTTCATGAAGGGGAGTGAAGACAAAATAAGCATTCGAGGTGCGAAAATGAATTTTTGCGTAGGTTGATGATGATGAGACGTAGCTGTCAAACTGCTCTGAGATGGTTTATTCACAGTGGCAGAAAAAAAAATAAAGCGTTTCAAGAGATACGTCAAAAAGGTGAATGCAATTTCCTTCACTTCATTAACATTTAAACTCTCCAAGTCATTGAATCATGAACGACATCTTTGTCAAAAGTAGCACAATGCATCACCCATCACAATAAGCAAAAGGGAAGAAAAAAAAATGACAAGTAAATAAAGAACTTTTTTTTGTGGTAAATTAAAACTTCTCCTGTTTTTACAAAATGAGAAGACACACACACAGACGCAGCTCCCCTCTCTGCAATGAACAAGAAAGTAGGAGTTCCAAACAAAATGCATAAAAATTAGAACTTGCACACATCATTCAGTCAAGAATGTCAAAATCAAACTCTAGGAGAAGACCAGGTGCTGTGAGTGGATCTGCAGTGCTCTGAGTCTCCAATCTGGGTTCAGGAGGGTTGTCAAAAAACCATGAACAGGAGATATTGTGAACAAGACCGTCTAGAAGGGGAATCAACGCCGAGTCTACTCCATTCACATAGCCCGGATCGGGGATAAGGGGACCAGGAGAGGAGCCGGCTTCCTCTTCGCCATTATCAACTACTTTCCACCAATCGGAATTCTCCGACAAGGGAACAAGGCTTTTGGCGCGTCTTTGGCCACTTCCAAGGCTACAATTGCTTCCAACGAAAAAATTGAAAGTACTTGGAGGTTGAAGCAGGATTCGAAGGGAGATTGCTCGATGATTCGCCCTTCGAAGTTGTCGTGAGTATGGAAAGAGTGCCTAAAATGAAGGTGATAATGCAATGAGAATCCAGACCACCTTCTCCCATAGTTTGAAGTCTAATGAAATTGACGATGAAGAGAGACGTGTCGCAATGACATAACGTAAGGCGCATCAAGTTGAAGAGTAGAGAATAACTTATAATCGCCTGTCAAATGATCAAAAAAGTCAACAATATCTAAATGGCTCTTGCATAGTTTATTTTGCAAAGTCAGCCCCTCTCTCAAGCCTCACAGGATTCAGGGGTGAAGGGTCGAAGGCTTGCATAGGCATATGACTCTCTAGTCTGATATGGTGTGATTGCCTAGGTTAGTTGTGCTTGTGAATGACATCGAGTGGATCCCCAAAAAGACTATGCGAATCCATAGAAGACCCAAAAAGTTTAATAGCCTCGGGCATAAAGAGGATAGGAGTGTTTACTACAACAAATGGGATTTGCATGGCGCCAAATTGGAACATTAGTGTAGCTAGCACCTAAAAAAATAATTTTCGACAAAAAAACGAGCATACTGACGCCAAAACATGGTTTCCATCACTGCCCGGAGTTTTATCCAAGACGGAAGGTTTGATTATCTTCCATTCGTGTGAGTTCTTTCTGCATTAGTTGTACTAATCGAGACAACCTCAACCGAAACCGTCTTTGACACAATGAGGAGTTTGGAGAGTACACCAACATCTCAATAAAAGTCAAGTGAAAACCGCGCATTACTGATGAAAGGAGGTAGGAGTTTGCAAAAGCGTTGACACTACAGAGAGCTTTGATGAACAAATTGACAGGCTGCCAGAACCCTCACAGTCGAACTCGAGTTCATTAATAATTAACCTACCGCGTTCAAAGCACTTTTGACGCCTTAAAGATAGCATTTACAATGCCAAAACAAGGAGAAAGATAGGCATAAAGAAAAGGCAACCAATTCGAATGAATACAGCAACACATAGCATAAACGACACTCGCGTCACGTATTTTGTGCCACTGAGAGGAGACAGGAAAAATAGGATGTCGGATAAGTGCGACACTGGTAACGGACGGGTTGAATGTATAAACACCGACATAATCACACACTCCTGTCAACACCACATCAAGTAAGTACGCTTGAGAAAAGGTTGAACATATGCACAAATGGACTGGCATTGATCAACTAAACCGGTAGTGGGTCAAAATGAAAGGTGGGTGTAAACACTCAATTCTTCGTCCTCCTCCTCCGCCTATCAACACGTTCAAAATGGGAGGATTGTAGCAGCGATCGTCTAACGACATTTAAATCCAATCAAAGCTTCAAACCATTGATATACACAGCTAAGAGGTGAGAGCAAGCATTGCGGTGATAACGGAGTGTACTGCACGCTCGCTTATAGACATTAACAGCTTCCAAGAAGTGGTTCACTCAAAGAAGACAGCAAGACAGTTTTCCGCATGCATGACGGAGGTGACGCGGAGCAGTCTGCCTTAAAAGGTCTCAGCCACAATGACAAATCTTACAACGATAAAGCACTTTGAAAGCATTAAAAGATGGGTGAATGAACAAGAGACACATTGGACTGGTCCAAAATACTGATAGAATTATCTTCGAGACAGTAAAAGTGGTTCCTTGCTACACCCTGTGCCAAACCACGTCACAGTAAAGCATATGTCCGCAACAGTTGGTTGATGCAAGGTGGAATACTAGGTGAAGAGCATTTAGATGTACTGTCTAGTGTTATGGCATCTGCAGCAACGCTTCGTTGAAGAGAAGGGTCCAATACTTGCTACGCATAACCTGGTGTAGAAATTGACCTTGAAGGTGAAGAAAATAAGTTCGCTGCTTGATTGTCAAATTGTTAAAGGCATCAACCCTACTTTGAAGAGTCTCATCAGTCTCACAGCATAGTGAATCGCGAGGGAGAAAACAAGTGAAATTCAGAGGGAATGCAATTTACAAGACAAAACGAAAAAGGAGACGAAGGTTGTTCATACGATACCAATTTGGATAAGTGACTGTGGACACATTTGATCAATGTCCAGGTATTTGTACCTTGGCTTACAAAAAACAGGGATGAAAGTAGGAGGTTGACCAAATGATAAAGCAAAAAAATGATCGACCTAATTGTTAATGTGGTTTAAGAGATTGCTTAGCAATGGCTAAGCAACATAACTTATTTTCAGTATTGCTGATAACAACAAGGCTTCGATGTGTATGTTCAAAAGTTAGACAGGCAGAGACAATTTCAGGTAAGAAAAAGCGGAGGAGGAGGAGGAG